TAATATTTTATTAGGCAGGTATGCAAGCCTGGTCTTGAAACACAGAAAAGGCTACCATTCGGGGTTTAGATACATAAACTGTATTCAAGAAGGGAATTAGGTCAAGAAGGGAATTACTTCTGCATGTAAAACCAAATTTTTTTTAAAAAATATAAGCTTAGTTTTATGTCAATTCTAGAATAGTAGGTTAGATTTTTCTTATCTGTCTAAAATGAGGATTGTTTCTAGAAACCAGGCTTGAGCAGAGGTCAAAGACAGGTGGAAGAGGAAAGAAAGCATGTAAAAGATGAAGAACATTTCTTCTTCAGTTAAGGTAAAAAAACCAATTGTTTGTCATGGGGCTTGAATTTGAGTTGTTCCTGAGCTCTTTTATTCAAAGCTAGCCTTCTACTATGTTGAGCCACACACTGCTTCCAATTTTCTGGTGGTTAATTGGAGAAAAGAGTCTCAAGGACTTTCCTGCCCTGGCTGGCTTTAAACTGAATTTCTTAAATCTCAGATCTTGTGCCTGAGTCACAAGCACCTGGGCAATTAAGGTAAATTTTTCGTAACATAAAATATATAATTTTTAGTTATTTTAAAAGAATACAGTTTGCATAATTGTATTATAGAAATGCTAATGGATGTATGTCATTTAGGTCAAAGATTTTCTGTTTGCATTTTTAACTGACGTGTCATTGCTACCTGTTTTGCCATGAATTGACAATGATCAAATCAGGCCATCTGTTTGCTTCAATTTCCTCAGAGAGCACTGAATTACACATAATCACTGAGGTCTTTTCTGCTCTGGAAATCTGTGATCCTTTTTTTTTTTTTTTGGTCAGTCCTGGGGCTTAAACTCTGGGCCTGGGTGCTGTCCCTCAGTTCTTTACCTCAAGGCTAGTGCTCTACCACTTGAGCCACAATGCCACTTCAGTTTGCTGGTAGTTTATTGGAGATAAGAGTCTCAAGGACTCTCTTGCCCGGGCTGGCTTTGAACCATGATCCTCAGATCTCAGCTTCCTGAGTAGCGAGGATTACAGGCATGAGCCATTGGCACCCAGCTATGATCCTCTTAACTACAGTTTTCAAATTATTTTTTACTCTACACAATCAGTATTGGCTTGTTTCTCACTGATAACAATTTTCACAGGCACTAGATGTGCTATTTGTAATGTCTGAGTCCTTGTCAGTCCCTTTTAGACAGAAAGAATACTGTAGCTCTCAACTGAACTGACTAAAATTTCAGAAATCAGTATTTGGTAGTATTATTTGGACAATATTTGGTAATAATATTGCCTAGCTTATTATTTGGGATAGTAGTTGCTTAACAATAAACACATATTTTAAAAATAATTAAATTTCAGAAAGTTATCATCCAAAATATTTTTTTCATTAAAATTACTAGATTAGCTAGGTGCTGGTGGCTCACATCTATGATCCTAACTACTCAGGAGGCTGAGATCTGAGGATCATGGCTCAAAGCCAGCCTCGACAGAAAAGTCCATGAGACTCTTCTCTCTACTTAACTACCTGAAAACTGGAAGTGGAGCTGTGGCTCAAAATGCATAGCCAGCTTTGAGTCAGAAAAAAAAGTAAGTAAAAAAAACCTCAGTGACAAGGCCCAGACCCTGAGTTCAAACCTCATGACCAAAACAATAAATAAAAATCAATCATTTGCTAAAGATTTCAGTTTGATTCTGGTTAGAATGCAAAATTGAACTAGAGGAGTGGAAGGAATCTGGTTCCTACCCTATAGATCTAGACTTCTCTCCTTGTTTCCAGTGTGATGAAGCATGGTAAAAAGGAGGATTAGCTTGCTAAAATTAGAAGGATGCTATAGAGAGTCCTAGGTAGAAGCTGGGCACTGGTAAGCTCATGCCTATAATCCTACTACTCAGGAGGCTGGGATCACAGTTCCAAGCTGGTCTGGGGAAGAAAGTCCAAAAGATTTCATTTCCAAAATTACCAGCAAATAGCTATGCTGCTCATGTAGTAGAGTGTCAGCGGAGAGGAGGGAGAATTCCTAGGAAGAAGTTAGCATTGTAGTGAGATATATGATCTCAGATTGCAGTTAGGAGTGGGAAACAAGACTAAGAAGCTCTGCACACAATTTTTTGTGCGTCTGTTTGCTTTGCCAGTACCAAGGTTTAAACTTAGGGCCTTACACATGCTCAACTTGATTACTCCAGTGGCACTCTACCACTTGAACCATGCCTGAAGCCTAGCTTTTGGATAATTATTATGGATAATTGGATTACTTGGATAATTATTACTCAGACTGGCCTCAAACAATGGCATGAGCCATTGGCATGGAACTCAGTTTTAATTTTTAATCAGCTTCATCTCTTATTCTTCTTCCTCCTCCTCCTCCTCCTCCTCTTCCTCCTCCTCTTCCTCCTCCTCTTTCTCCTCCTTCTCTTTTCTTCCTTCTGTGGCATTGGAATTTGAAATCAATGCTTGTGCTTGCTTGGCTTGCTTGTTCACATGGCTCTCTGCTACTGGAGCCATACCTATAGCCCTGAACAGTTATTTATGAAGTAGAAAATGGCTAAATTTCAAGTGGTCCAAAATCATTGTTCAGACTTGATCACATATTTCAGTCCCCACAGTAAACCTTTAGAGAACATTTAAAAATTGGTTAGATTGAGTGAGATGAAACATAAGGTCTAGGTTTCTTTACATGCGTATAGTTGCAATATAACATAAAATATGATTAAATATAAAAATGGGTTTAAAGATACCTTCTTAAAATACCTTTATTCAAAGAATAAAAATCCAAACCAAATATAAGATTTTCCAGGATTGTAGAAGGAACAATGTAGAGGGAATAATGACAGTAGGCAGCCACCATTTTGTACCTTCACAAAAATAGTTGATTCAGAAGAATAATCAATGCATGCTAAAGGTTTGAAAAGGAATAAAATATTTACTTGTTACCAGAGTATCTCCTCAAATATTGCTTCTTCATTAAAAAAGAAAAATGGTAGCTTTATAGTAGATAAAGCTGACTTACATCACATGATTGAGCTATCACAGTTAGCATCATCAGTGATAGAATGATTTCTGATATTATGCTGACAGAAGCACAACATTATTTATGCAGTCTTCTTGCTGAAAATGCATAATGTGAATCCAATCAAGCGGAAATGTCAGATCCAAAGAAGCGTTCTTCAAAATCATTACCTGGGTACTTCTGAAAAATTTCAGTGCCATGAAAAATAAAGTATGTAAACTGTTCCAGACAAGAGACTTTAAGAGGACATGCCAACTGTATGTTATGTATAAGTTTGGCTCTGGGAGGGAGGGATGGAGGGGGAGAGGAGGAAGAGAGAGACAGAGAGACAGAGACAGTGAGAGACAGAAACAAAGAGAGACAGAGAGAGAAAGACAGAGACAGAGACTTTATTTTTTTTAATTTTTATTATGAAAATACCGTACAAAGGAGTTACAATTACATGGGCAAAATGAGACCGAGACTTTAATACAGGAAATTATTAGAACAATTTAAGAAGAATTAATATAGATTGTATTGAGTCAAAATCTTGATTGTCCTAATATGTAAGTTTACATAAATTTGTAAGTAACACATTCAGGCACAAATGTTGAAGCAAAAGGCTCATATGAACAATAACTGTTTAGTATACAAAAAGTTCACTTTCAAGAAATAGCAGAAACAGTAATTTAAGTTGATAGATCATTTTTTGGCCTATAATATTAATAGATTTTCAAAAACTTAAAATAACTGCAGATAAGGGAGAGTTTCTTTTGTTTTCTTTTTCTTTTTTTTTTGGTGGTATTGGGGATTTGCTTGGCAGATGTAATACTACTTGAGCCAGAACTGCAGCCTGAAGGTTTTTATTAATAGGAAAAACTTTAAACAGCCTCAGTATCCAACAGCATGTAAATAGTTAAGTGAAGTATTTATTAATGCAATTTGACTTTACTTGGACAGTATAATGACTTTTGGAGAAGTTTAAATAATACAAGTGAATATGCTGTCATAGTAACTGTAGAAAGCAGTGTCGAACATACTCAAAAGATAACAATGCTTTGCTTCTGGGAGATGCCAGATTGTAGAAGCTGGTGAAGAGTGGATGCAAATGGCGTTATATTGTCAGTGTTTCTGTACGTCTGAAATTATGTCAAAATAGTTTAAAAATATAAATCGACAAAAAATAAAAAAAAACAACTCTACACAATTTTAGCATTGATTTCTTTGTGGTAACATTGACTGGCTTTCCCATAAGTTATAATGATGAACATGTCATAATAAAATCTATCATCATTATTATCTTTTATCTTGGTGCTTGAACTCAGGGCCTGAATGTTCCTGAGTTTCTTTTGCTCAGGGCAGCACTCTACCAACTTAAGCCACACCTCCACTTCTGGCTCTTTGGTAGTTAATTGGAGATAAGAGTTTCATAGACTTTCCTGCCTGGGCTGGCTTCAACCAGCAATCCTCAGATCTCAGGTTCCTAAGAAGCTAATATTATAGGCATGAGCCACAAGTGCCTGGAAAAATTCATTATTTAATATAACTAATATGTGCTAATCGGAAATTAGAAAAACCATTCCCTTAACATTGGAGTAGAAAAACAAAAGGTTAAAGTCAAAAGCAAAGTGCCATTTATTATAGTCAAGGGTTAACTAGTGTGGCAGAAAAACAGAACTGGAACAAGAGATGAACCAGGACCGGTGTGGGCAGAAGCTAAAATGTCAGCTGGTTAGGTATGCATCTCAGGTGAGATGTGGGGTGTGAAAGCAGACAAAGACCAAAGACTTAGGAAGCTGTGAGAATGAAATGTTTATTTTAGCCACAAAGAGCAGAAACTGCTACTGAAAGGACAATAGATACCTGCAGTGTTTTTTTTTTTAATAGAAGAAAATCAGGTATAATCCTCTGGGATTTAAGGCAGCATAATCATAGTAGATTATGGGTGTGTTCCCAAAACATTGCTTTTTAAATGACTTAAAAATCATTTCATAACCATTTTCATACTTGTTTTTATCACAGACTCCTTTCTAAGCAACTCAAGTTCGTGGTGATTCAGGCCTTCTTCTGAAGAGACAGAGTCTTATCTTAATGAATGACGAAGGTAATCACCCACTCAAGTTAAGTCCCTTTAAGTCCCTGTCACCACTCCCTCCAAGATATAGTCTCTTTATACAACTGAAATGGTTCTGGAACTTGCCCTGTAACCTTGGTTGGCTTCAAATTCAAGATCTTCCTGTACTGGCCTTTTGAGTGCTGGGATTACAGTGTGAAATACCACACCAAGATTAAGGCCTTCTTGATCCAGACTCTTTGGTCAAATAGTCATCGTTGGTCCATATAGAGAAAGGGGAAGCAGCATAGTTATGCCCTGTGGTGTTATTAGTACTACATGGGAGAAACTGCAGCATACTAGACATTATGGCTCTCCCTAGGTCCCTAATATTGCAGGAGCATCTTCCCCTTCATTCCTGGAAACTTCCATAGCAGTGACTTCTGGACATGTTGCTAGGCAGAAATTGTGCCAGGAGTTGCATTCTGAACTGTTTCCTTCTCCCACGCTATCTCCTGTGGACTAAACCTTACTACTAGAACCAGAATCTTCTAGTTTTAGCGTTTCTCATAATGACGCAAACAACATGATGATGACTTACTGTTGTTCTTTGGAAAGGAACCTGTGGCTTTCCTTCAAATTTTGCTCCAGCTCAAACGATCTGTGTCCCCATGATTAGGTTTTAAACCCCTTGCAGGCATTAACCAAGTCTTGTCTAGCCTTTTACTCTCCTCAGACTTAGTCTTTGACTTTAGAAAAGCTAGTTACTTGGCAATTGCTTATTGGAAGTGAATACCATTTTCCTTAAGGGCAAATTCTATTGCTTTGTGAAGCAATAGAATTTGTGGAATAGAAAAATGTGACTTAAGTCCAAATTAAAGTGGAAAATACAGAATGTATAGCTTGAAGCTAAGAGCAGCTTTGATCTCTGGCTGACTACATTAAAAATATTAAAATAGTTATTAAAAATGGGATCTAAAGGTCGAAGAAAACTCTTAAATGAGAGCCTAGGAAAATGTCTGAATGTCTGCATGCTTATGAAGGATATGAATACATTGTGCTGGGTGGCAGGCTTTGACAGCTTCCACTTAGTCCTGTACACAAGTCACAGGGCTTTGTGTCCAGGGGCTTTGTAGACTGCTTTGTTTCTCAAAGATGAAAACGGATGATATGACTGACTTAAAGGGAATTTTCTTTTATGTGTCTTCTATGTAGTAGAATTAGCACATTCATTTTTTTTTGCTCAGATTACTATTTTAGGACTATTTGCTCATCTATAAAAGAGAATAACAATAGTATCCCACAGTATAGGGTCCCACTTAAATCAGCACAGTGCCTGAGTACTATCTATATGCTCAACAAATAGTGTTTTTCATAATTGTCTACAGAAATTCAGAAATGTGTTACAAAAGGCTATGTGAATTTGAAATCACAAAAGAGAATAGATGACTGCAGTGAAATTGTGTGTGTGTGTGTGTGTGTGTGTGTGTGTGTGTGTGTGTATGTGTGTGTGTGTGAGTGTAGAAGAGAATTAGGTTAATTGTGAGGGCCATTTTATAGCTTATATTGGCTTATGTGACTTGAAAGCAAAGCGTTATTACTATGTCTAACAATGCTTTAAGGACAAACACTTCCTCAAAGCTATAAAACCTGTGTGCTTTTGGAGGTTTAGGACCATAACACACTCATAAATGGAGTGCTAACTGGCACTTTCCATGTGGCTCATTTGATATTTATCACTCTTTTGAATATTAGACAATATACAAGGGACATGACAACTTTCACCATTGGAAATACACTGTATCTTTCACAGAGGCATCCATCTACTTCCCACTTCCTCTTAACTCTCACTAATTACTTCTTCCTCTAGCTTCTATTTAATGTCAAGTAGCTTGCAGACTTTTTGACCTTAATTTAATGAGTGACTTTCTCCTTAGCATTTATGAGTCACACTCCTTGGGCTTGAGTCATTATACAAACTATTCCCATGAAGGCACTTACTTATTATTGTAATTTAATTTTTTACCAGCGCTGGGGATTGAACCCAGGACCTTGCACGTCATAGCCAAGTTCCCTACCATTGAACCGTATCACTAGCGCTTATGTTTTATTTTTTCATTCCATTTTGGGTCACTTTTTATAGAGACAGTGAATGAAAAAAATGTGTTGATTGGGAAACTAACAAAAACTATAGAAAATAAAAGATCTTGGCAGCAACTTCTCTGTCCATAAGAAAATAGAATAATAGGTTCATAGCACATGCTTGGAAAATGGCAGTACCATCATTGCCAGTATGATCAGTGGCAAACATTCAGAAGCATGAAATTACCTGTGAAACCGAGGTAGGAGCAGTGAGCAGGGATTTATACAGAATTGGCAGATGGGCAGAATAGAAGCACTAAGCAGATATTTTTATCCGTGAGGTCTGTAGTTTTCATTATATAGAGGTAAGGTGCAAATGAAATGCTGGCAAGTGGAAAAGGTTAATTATGTGACTGAAGTAGAGATCAGAGAGACAGTTTAGGACCTTGTTGTTTTCTTAGGTTGATGGATAATAGTGACAGCATGGTGTTCTGAATTTGACAGGGGGTGGAGCATGTCAATATTGGCAGGTACTGGCATGTATCAGAGCAGAGTCAGGGCAAGTGGTAGCTTTTATTCTGAGTGGATGATTCCCATAGACACAGATTCTGGTTGAGTGTGGTGCCTGTATTTGTGCTAGCTAATACCTCATGCTACATTTCAGAATATGTTGCTGCTCCTGTGATTGAGGTGTAGGAGTCAGGGAGAGGAACATCCATAACTTTATGAATATAACTCTAAGGCAATGCATGGTTTTAAGGATACCAAAGAGAAATTCTAAAGGTGCAGAGACATGGGTAGATTATTAGCACCTAAAAACTGCTTCAAAGAGAAATAACAAATTTCATCTAAAATTGATGTGAATTTTATGTTTCCAAGGTTATATGTTAGCAACAAAGCCCCAGATATTTAAATAGCTCTTCAAGCTGACAGTTTTCCCAGACTTTCTACTTTAGCTTACATGGGAATGCCTCAAATCACTCTTTATTAATTTCTTCAATTGAAAGCAAGTCTTTATAGCATGTCTTAAAAACACACAGAGGATTTATTTGTCTTAGCAGCTTAACTTTGCTAAATGCCAATAAAGTATTATTTCTGACTTTCACTTTTCTGTTAGAAAATTGCCTAGAAGATGTTTCATGATGAAAGTTAAGAATTTTATTCTAAACTGGGTGCCGGTGGCTCATGCCTATAATCCTAGCTATTCAGGAGGCTGAAATGTGAGGATCATGGTTCAAAACCAGCCTGGGCAGGAAAGTTTGTGAGACTCTTATATCCAATTAACCAACAGAAAACTGAAAGTGGTGCTGTGGCTCAAGTGGTAGAGCGCTAGCCTTGAGCAGAGCCCAGGCCTAGAGTTTAAGCCGACGACTGACACCCCCCCCCCAAAAAAAAAAAAGGAAAGAAAAGAAAAAAGATTGTATCCTAAACAGTATTTTCAGAAATACACCCCTTATCTTTCCTACATTTATCTCCTCATAGAGCACCTGTCTCTGTCTTAACCCATATCTACATGTGTCTCCATTGTCCAGTGGTCACATTCCCAAACGCGCTGGGATTACAGAAAGGGACATTTAACAAGGTTAAAACACACACACACACACACACACACACACACACACACACACACACACACACACAAAGACTGCAATAATGAAGGTAAAGAAAGTAGAGGTTTGGCTTAAAGGATAGAATGCCAACACTGAGAGAAAAAATTAAGTGAGAGTGTGAGGCCTTGAATTCAAGGCCCAGTACCAGCACCTAAAACAAGCAAAAATAAAGACAAGAATGCTTTTTCTCCTACCATAAGACATATATGGATGATCACAATCCAGCAGTTTATTGTTTAACATCTGTTTTACTTCTGTATCTGACCTCTTGCTATATGATCACTGGACTCTTACAATTTGTAAAATTACCAAGTTTGCTCAATCATTTCTTCCTTTGTGTTCCTATACCATATTGTATGTACAGTAGCTGTATGTTGCTGAATTATAATTTTTTAAATTTCCCTATCCTCATGAAACAGAATTCATTTTTCTTCCCTTCCACCTCAATACCTTGGATTTAAACTCAGGGCCTTGAGCTCCCTCAATTTGCTTGCTCTGTTAACTTGCTCATGATTGACTCTCTACCACTTGAGCCAGGTCCCAAAACCCAGCATTTTGCTTGTTAATTGGTGATTGAGTCTCAAAGAGTTTTCTGCTCAGTCTGGCTTTGAACCGCAATCCACCAAGTCTCAGTCTTTTGAGTAGCTAGGATTATAAGAGTAAGATAAGGGCTTCCATCCTATGAAGCATAATTCTTTTTTTTTTTGTCAGTTGTAGGTCTTGAACTCTGAGCATGGACACTATCCATGAGCTCTTCAGCTCAAGGCTAGTGCTCTACAACTTGAGCCACAGAACCACTTCTGGTTTTCTGGTGGTTAATTGGAGATAAGAGTCTTGTGGAGGGCTGGGACGGTGGTTCAGTGGTAGAGCACTTGCCTTTCATGCTTGAGGCCCTGCATTTGATTCCTCAGCACTACACAAGCAAAAAGAAAAAAAGCCAGAAGTGGCACTGTGGCTCAAGTGGTAGAGTGCTAGCCTTGAGCTGAAGAGCTGAGGGACAGAGCCCAGGCCCAGAGTTCAGGCCCCACGACCGGACCCCCCCCCCCCAAAAAAAAGAGTCTAGTGGACTTTCCTGGGGGACTGGCTTTAGACAGCCATCCTCACATCTCAGCCTCCTCAGTAGGATTACAGGTGTGAGCCACCAGTACCTTGCTGAAACATAATTCTTCAAGAATAATTCACAGTGTTCACAGTGGCTAGAATAGTGCCTAAATTTTAAAAAGTATTCCTACAATGTTTCATGAATAGATAAAAAGGATAAAATATTTGTTGTCCATATTAACAAGTCACACTAATTTGTAGACATCATGCGAACCTATAATTTGATTCTGAAGTAGTCACTTCCCTTCTTTCCTCTTT